ACATAAAAGGCTTGTAAAAATTATCTCTATAGGTGTGGGGGTTAAGTTAGCAAATTGGTTAGAAGAGTGGCTGGATGGAAGAAAGCAGAGGGTTGTCACAAATGGAGTTCAGCCAAACTGAATTAGTGTCACAAGTGGGGTACCTCAGGACTCAGTCTTAGGACCTTTGCTCCTTTTGAATTACATTAATGGCATAAATGTAGAAATGGTCAATAAATTACTTAAATTTGCAGATGATATTAAGGTCTTGGGTGTTGCTAGTTGTGAAGAGGATGCTGCTGATTTACAAAAAGATTTAGATTATTTAGTGAGTTTAGAAAATAAATGGCAGATGGGTTTTAATTTTATTAAATGCAAAATAATGCACGTGAATTATCATAATTTGGATGGGAATAACCTTATCAGTGTTATAAAAGAAAAGGATCTTGGTGTAATAGTTGAACAGTCTCTAAAGCCATCCATGCAGTGTGCTGTTGCTAGTGATAGGGCAAATAGGATTTTAGGTTGTATCTACAGAAATATTGAATACAAGTCTAAAGAGGTTATAATTTCATTATAGAGGTCACTGGTTAGGCCACATTTGGAATATTGTGTTTAGTCTTGGGCTCCTTACCTGAGGAAAGACATTGAATTGTTGGAAAGGGTTCAGAAAAGGGTTACTAGAATGATCCCTGGGATGGAGGGGTTGTCATACGAGGAGAGGTTGAAATTTCTCAAGTTGTTTTCTCTTGAAAAAAAGAAGAGTTCGTGGGTTAGATCTGATTGAAGTGTTTAAGATTATAAAGGGAATTAATAGTGTTGATGTATCATCTTTTTTCATATTTAACAGTGAGAATTGTAGGACATAAATATACATTTTGGCAGAGTAGGAGTCATCTTCAGCTAAGACAGTTTTATGGGTGGTTGGCCTTTGGAATGGGTTGCCTTCAGATATTGTGGAGGCAGTAAATTTAAGTCAGTTTAAGAAAAAACTTGATAAGTATAAGAATTATAAGGGCTGGCTTTCAGATTTTTTTTAAATTTATTTATTTTAATTTAGTTTAGAAGATTGAACAGCCAAGATGGACTGATAGGTTCCATGTTGTCCCAAAACGTTATGTTATGTTAAGGTTACCACTGTCTTTCACCACTTGTTACTTACAATGACTGACCTAGATTCTCATTCTGAAAAATACTTTCTATGTCCAAAAGTTTTGAAGACGAAGAGGTATTTTGCTAAGAAAAGAAAACTTCATTCAGGGTGAATGACTCTCAATGATGCAGACTTTATATAAGACTGGTCCATTCTACTCATTCTCCCTTGAGTTTGGTTATTTAGCTATTTCTGACTCTGAATTCTACTTGTACTTCATGGCCACATCCTTAGCATGGTCTAGGTTATTTACCCTCCTGTCTTGGAACATTCATGGTTCCCAACCCCTTTTTGGTGTGGGTATTTTGGCTTTTAGTATTCCAGAGGTAAGTCTACCTGATTTAAATTTTACATTTTTAGGGTTGAAATGAATTTCAGACAGGTGCTTACATCTGAAATACATTACCACCCATCTCCCCACAACTAGTTCATATGTGATTTTTCATCACATGACTGCTACTAAGAAACCTGAATTCTTTCTGGAAATCAGAACTTATGTAAGTTCTTGGGATGCATGTGCAATAAGTCACACAGAAAGTTGGAGAGTGGAGAATTCTGGGAAATTTGCCATGTGCTGTGCATTACATGAAAGACATTTCAAACTTTGAGCCACATATTTATTGACAGCATGAAAGCAACTCAACACTTTCACTATTAATTAACAAGTGTATCATATCGTAAAAATGTAAAATTGAAGACTAATATTTATTTCAAGAAAAATTAATATATGTTCTGATAATATTTATACAAAGAGCAAATATAGTGAAATGTTGAAGAAAATGCTTAAATATTTAAAATTTATAAAAACATTTCACTTTTTAAGTAAGCTATTGCTATCAGCCTGAACTTAGTATTGAAATTCTATGAATGTTAATTCTCTCGTAAGTTGTGTATTTGGTATCATTTTAATAACAAAAAGATTTTTAGAAAATACCTCTAACAGCAAAACATGTGTACTTAGGTTAATCATGCTACAGCCAGAGTACAAACAAAGAAAGTCCCCACTTTTCCTAATGGTGAGTAGTTGTTGAATACTGTATAATGTGGAATGGTATTAGATTTTCTGGAATCTATCATGAGTTATGTTTCAATTTTAAGTTACCTTTTTGGGTTGTTTAATATTTACAATGCTTTTGTATTACTATTATGTACCCACACACACAAAACTTGGTGCATGTACTGTCATTAAACTAGGCTGTTTTAATAAAAATATTTAAATGATAAATTTTGCATGCTTAGATGTTAAATTGGTTATGTTTCAAGCTCCATCTAAATTATCTATTTCATTTCAAGCTACTACTATGAAATAATGTTTTTCAAAGAATCAGGAATTTCTTATTTGAGTAATCCAATTAGTTACTGTAATTTTTGATAAAGAATATATGACCTAAATATATTTTTTGGCATGTTTTCTTTCACCGCACCTAATAAAAATTACACTATTTAAATTTAAAGCTCTTATGCACATACTATTATTATTCAAACATCTGACAACTCAAGAATAATGTTACATGTATTTATTGTATTGTGTAATTGAATTGTAAATTTACCAACTGTAGTATCTCAGATGACCTGAAAATGCTTTAAAGCTATATCCAAGATGTCTGCTAAACAGTAGATTTGACATAGACATGGAATTGTGAAACAATTCTGGACACAAAATAGTGTAAAACAAGGTAAAATCAATATTTACTATGAACTTAAACAAAAACACAGTGTGTGCACTTGCTTCACCATGGATGGTTACTTCTCTGTTGGCTAGGTACAATCCAGGATCAAGCTTCGATAGACTTGAAATAATATTAAACAAACGAGAGATTTATCCTTCAAAGAAATCTAGCATTTACCTAGTACATGTGACTGTTGATTGTCATCACCATGTGTTATGTGATAACCTGCATATATACAGAACAAAGAATAAATTCAAACTAAATATTAACACTACAGAAAGAAGAAACCTATGGTTATATTTCTATAACACACAACAATGACTTTTTATGTAAAGAGCATACTGTATGTTTTAAAAGAATATTAGTTTGTCTTGTTCAAGCCAATGTTCTGTCAATACCTGTAGTATGTTCACTAAATAAAGTTTTTATTATGCTTGTAAATCATTGATGGTCAGTTTACTATTCACCCCCTAGTGGCACAGTGGTTTGTCTGCGGACTTACAATGGTAGAAATTGGGTTTCGATACCTATGGTGGGCAGAGCACAGATAGCCCATTGTGTAAAGAAACAGTTTACTATGCATGCACATATGCAGGGGGATTTGGCTGAATCTGCTGTTTTAGTGATGTAAAAAAATTATGCTTATATACTTATAGCACAGCTGCTTATGGTATTTAATGTTTTCTATATAGTCTACATTCTTCTGATGAAGCATTAGCATTTTTTGCCTTGAAATAGTTGAATGGAATGGCTTCTGTTGACACTTTGTAATTATTGGCGATAAATTTCAACAATAAACAAGCAGCAACACAGTCCACTTGTTTTAAAATAATATACTTGCATATAATAAAACATACATGTTTATGCTAATTTAAGTCTAGCTCCCCATGCAGTGTTGTAACAGATTGATGATTTGTTGACTTTTTATTGCATGTTTGAGGCTTTTAGGTGAACAGCCATGCAGTTGTTTAAGCAATATTTCATGCAAATTGCTTCCAGATTTAATCTCATAACACCTATTTTTTTAAAAATTTTCTGGGGGTCTTACCTTCAGACCCTCATTGCATTAGCATGCTTTGAATGCTGGTTGTGCTTCGCACAATATGTGTTGGCTTATGATCTCACAAATTAGAACCCTCTTTCAAACATTCTGCATACAGGCCTGCTATGGTATTAGCATAATGTGCTTCCCTACACAAGTGATGTGTAATTGGTTAAATGTTTCTCTACATATCACATATTTATAAATGTCTTTATAATTTTAATTAAACACAAGTCTATAATGATATGCCACACATCAATCAGAAATGGAAATAAGCAGTATTCCTGTGAAATTATGTAAATATTTTTAGAATGGCTCAGCAGAAACATCATCGTTCTTTTAAGCCCAAGCTTTTTTTTTACTTGAAAATAAATAATAATTTCTTCTAACAAGTGTTAGTATTTATGACATGATTTCTTATATAATAATTATTAACAAAAAGACTATAAATCATCCAAACTGTCATTAAAAGCTCTAGTCTCACCTTCTAAGTTTCACACACTAAAAAACATTTAACATTGTAATTTATATAACTTTAATGATTATACTTATTGATTTTTTTCTTAAAATATATTACATACACATTTTCATCTCTTTTAAAAGATGTTTATAAGTGAAAGTGCCAGATTTGTGACTATATATGTATTATACCATATTTGAAATAAAATGTTTTTATCTCTTTTAATTCATTTAAATGTTAACAGGCACTTGATACTTTTATTATCAGTACAGAATGATGATAATTTCTATATTTATTATATTTAGTCAATGTTGCCCATTTTTATATAATTATATACTAATTTTTGAGTATGCCATTTTGATCTTGAAGTTAATATGTTTGCACTACGTTTTAATGAAGTTTTTTCTCAACTTAACTTATCCTAAGCTTAGTTGGAAGATTTACAAAAAATCCTTTGCTTGATGATCTCAGAGATGATACATGCTGGCTAATGTGTGTTTTTTTTAACTTTGCCAGTGGCTGCTTTACGTGGTGTAGCAATTCAAAGAGGTAGAGCACGAGGGGCTTTTGCCACAGCCTTTGCCAGACACCCTTCTCCATTAAGTGCGGTTGCAGCAGCTACAGCCTTGCATGGGTATACCCCGTAAGTTTTAATTTGAAGTACAAGCACTTAATTAAGTCTAATCAAAAACAGTCTTCCAATTTATTTCTTTATTGAAATCATAAAACTTGCATGTGCCACTTTTTTGTATTAATCCTTTAATGTATAGACTTTTTCTGAAAACAGAATCGCATTTGCACTGTTTTTTTTTTTACTTTTGTGTTCCTTCACACATGCCCAAGACATGACGTCTGATGTTATTAAAAAACGTTGTATAATGATAATTAAAATAGTTTGTTTTTAATGGTTTTCAGTTGATTTCATGCTTTGTATTTGAAGTTAATATAATTCAGTAAATTTTAGTGTGGAAACTCAGGATTTATGAAAATAATATTGGTATTTAACATGTTTATTTTTTGTCAGTAAGGGAGATCTATAACTTTACTTTCAGTTTATTACCTGTCCAGAAAGTTACATTACAGCTATTTATTAAAATGGTATCAAAGAAACATGTGGTGAAAGGAGAAATATTTCATGGGCTCTTCCTGTCAGGATTACTTACTATGTAATAAATTTAATATAAAAGATCCTTATAGCTATATGCAGAGACAGTTTGCATTTAAATTCCAATTAAATGCGAAACTTTAGCAGACAAAAATAATTGTCCTTTTCTGTTGTTTCTTTTTCTTTTTTTAATCCCCTTTTCTTAATCTTTGCTTATTTCATGGATATTATAAACCCAGAATATATTTTAGCAAAACCAGATTTTAAATGTTAATTATCTGGTCAACTCATGCAGATAGAACATATAAGTAATTCCACCTCTATAGTATTTATAATTTAATTATACATTACATTCAGATTATTTATAAATTAAAGATATGCACAAATATGTTGATATAAACTTTCTTAAACTTCAAAAATAAAATGACAGTAAAATTCTTGTAACCCATTTGTAAAAATAATCAAAGTTTTATTATTTGAACTGAGATTTTATCTATTTAGTTTTATTGAATATAACATGCCAGAAGTAATGTTCTTTATTTTTATCTCATGGCATCATAAACTGTTTTCCTCTGTTAATAGATTGTTACCTATAATAATAATAATAATAACTAGATTTGTGAGATTCACTGTTGTATTAATCTTAATAGACTAAACTGAACTTTCCATCAAATCACAAAAATATACTGGATTATTTGATGGTTCAATGCATTTTTAGCTATTTAATTTAGCCCATACAATATTGTTTGGATTTTTTTTCACACAAATATATATATATGTATATATAGACAGGGTGGTCCAAAATTATCTTTCCCATTTTAAAATTCAATAATTAACTAACTGAGGAAATACAACCACGCAGTTTTCAACATCTTGTAGCCAAACTCAAACAGTCTTTATTGACATGTCAGTAGACTTTTACATTTTCACCAATAGTGGCTTTCAGCATGTCTAACTTATATTCGATTTTAGTTCATGTTCACTACAACATGTCCACAATTACAGTGGCAATGGCATCTGTTATCCTGGTCTTTATCTCAGTGATGTTTACTATAGGTATGCAATATGAATATCCTTAACATACCCCCATACTTTTTTCCTGTACTGGCATTTGTAATTACACTGCACCACAGTCACTGACAGGGTCTCTGCAAGCCAAATGATGCATTGAGTCTTTTCTTGCATGGTTACCATATTACAGGGTAACATTACTCACTGGAGTGCTAAAAAAACATGACAATAAAAACTATTTGAGTTGGGCTACAAGATGTTGAAAACTGCATGGTTGTATTTCCTTAGTTATTTAATTATTAAATATTAAAATAGGAAATATAATTTTGGACCACCCTGTATATTATAAACATTGGGGTATTTAATTTTTAAAACTTGTTTAGCTAATATTTGTAAAAAAAGAGAATAAATTTATCTCTTTTGAAAATATCACTTTCTTTTATCATATCTTTGAAAGTTACAGTAAAGTAAAAAATTTTGTGCAGAAAAAGAAAAGGATGTATGTATGAATTTGAAATATACATTGTTAAGTAAATAGGCATTGTTGTATAATTTAGTTAATTGTATGTTAATTTATGGAATTAATCTTTACAGCAGTATTTATCAGGATCCTTTCCTCGCTTATGCTGGAGCAGAGAGGTTTCAGTTGCCTGTAAGTTTTTTTAGTTCATTATTATTCAAATAAAGTCACAGTAAATATTCATTAATTTTGTAGTATACTGTTGTTTTTTCTTTTGCATTTGTGATGAGTTCCAATTAAAATTTAGGATGTTTCTACAATAAAATATAAAGTAAATTAGCCTGTACATGCCAAATGTAAGTTCATCTTCCTGATATAATTAACTTATTAGTATAGTTATAATAGTTTCTATTATTGGATGTTTTTGTTTAGTTATTTGGTAGAACATAATAATGAAAAATCCCATCCACTTAAGGCTAAAGAAAGCATTTCATTGTTTTGATTTGACTACTAGTTCTGCAAGCTTCTGATTTTATGTAACAACATAACATTCACAGAGCAATAAGCCTGACTTAATAACTTCACTTATTTGTTAATTTTCCCTTTTGGTTCTTTTGCATATTTCTGTTAACGTTTTGAAAACTCAACTTTTACAAAACTGAACTAAATAACTGTCTCATATTAACTTTTACTTACATAAAGTACAACTAATATTATTCACTGGTTAACAAAAACTTATTCCATAATTTACTTACTTCACTGACTAAAACAATAATTGATAATCCATCTACTCGATCCCATTTTATGCTTCTCAAATATTACTAAAACATTCAAGAAAATTCTAAACGTTAGGCCACATGCTCATCTCGTGATTTTATACTTCCTAGTGTTCAAACAACGGTGTGGTATTTTCAGATTAAATTAATTTCCTTGAGACCAATTAAGACCTTTTAATAACTATTTACCAAGATTAAAATTTGTACTGCTACTACCGTACCCCAATACACACAAAGTAAAATCTGGATTCTATCACAGATGGTAGTTCCAAAGTATTCCCCATTTTGACTAATGAGAAATCTAGTGAGTACTGGGTGGCATGCTCTGTAGATTTATCACCATTCAGCTAAACTGTTGTAGGATTTTTTCAAAAAATCGGGTGCAATTTTTGTTAGAAAATTCACTCAATGACTTGGAATACAAGTGGTTACAAAGCCCTTTCAAACACTGACTTTTCAGTCACATGATCATTGTAACTGTCAATAATCCAGTGATAGTTCTACACTGTAATACATACATTGCATCTCAGTGCCACATGATGGTTTGTAAAATCCATAATCAAGCAATTCAGTGTCTGTTCTAACTGTCAATAATTTAATATCAGTCACAAAATGTAGTTTATACATTCTGCCAGACAGTACTACTTGATGGCTCAGAAATCAAAGAACACTGTTCTTTTCAGTTATTAGTTGCTCAAAATATTGACAGTTTTAGCTCTAACATGAGTGGTAACTGCACGTTGTAATACATACATGCTGCCTCATGTCATGACTCAGGGGCAGGATTGGAAAGCAAGGTATCACTGAACCATTTCAGTCACTAATCATTCAATTACTTGACTTTCTTTACTTTTAATCAAGTGGAAATCACACAAAGTAGTGCATAAATTATAGTGTACATCACATGATAGCTTGTGAAAGTAAAAAATGGCACATCTTTTCAATCATCAGGTGTTTGATTTAGTAATCATCTCAGCTTTTGATGATTGGTCCCACCCAAAATCAGTTTAGGGGCCAAATTTGGCATTTATTCTATTGATTAGAACTGATAGTAACTTCCAGCAGAGGAAGGACGATTGCAATCAGGTCTGTGTGTGTGTGTGTGTCTGTCTTTGTTTCCACGTGTGTATCTTGAAAGAAAACTAACTGACCAATCTACAAAAATTTTTTACAAAAGATGGGGAGTTAGTATGGAACAGTTCTCCTAAAATTAGGTTCAGATCCAAATCCTGATATTTATTCTGGATCACTTTGAAACATTTTTATAATGGGGGAAATAGGGCATTTTGCAATTTTAGGTTAATAACTGTGTAAAGTGTAATCAGATTTGTACCAAATTTCGTGGGCACATTAAAGTTGAGACCCATCATCACACTACAAAAAATTATCTGGAACATTGATCATTCTGGAGCTGAGAAGGATTTTCTGAGTTCTTGGAGGTGAAATTTGATGTTATCCAATATAAGCACATGCAATCTCAAAAGGGATTGGTGGTACAAGGGTATGCAATCTCTGCAATTTCTATTTTTTTATTTGTTAAAGACCACCAGACATGTCTATGCAGCTTCTTCTACCTCATCAAGTAGGTTGGAATGACTCAATATGGTATCCTCATTCTCTTCTGACTTATCAGCTTCCTGTTGAGACTCCTGCTCTAGTCAGTGCACCAAAGGGTTGTCTGTGACATATAGAAACAGCTTATCAATGTGTTCGATGTGCTTTTGTGCACATTGCATCTGTGTTAGCTCATACATTAGAGGACCAACTTGTTGGATAATGGATAGACCTTGAAGTAGTAGACAGCAATTATTATGTACCAGTGATATTTTGCAGTCTCCAGCAATATCCAGAGTATGATCCAAAAATACTCTGTTGGAGTTTACTCTATATTGGCCATTTCTTCCTCTGGGCAGCAGATACCATACAGTGCTCAAACTAGTGCCAAACAACTCAACTCACTTGTGGCCAGAAGAACCACCATAAGATATTAGCACAAATGCAAGTTACATCTTGGTGCCAGCAGTCTTTTTGTTGTTCAAAATCCAGAGAATTTCTGGCTGCAGAGCTCTGGGGATTACCAGCTGCACCACTATTGGATCACATACTACACTTTGTGGTTGACAGGAATAGTAAAGTACACCTTCTTGCACTTGTAATTGCTTGTACAGATTATGTGAATCCATACTATTCTCCTCTACCTGTGCTTGTTTGGCTAATAGATCACCTGATTTTTCACTGTGTCAAATCAGTGTCACAACTCTTACATAACTGTATTTCATGTTTTTTGCTGTTCTTTGCTTAGATGTTCAACAGTGTTCAAGCATTAAAATTCAAGATCAGGCACTGAACAGCCTGTTCCTGAGTGTATCTATTACAGGCAGTTACTTACCTGAAATGCTTTACAAATTAGTTTAGGTCCTCTTTTGCCATTCCTTTAAACACTGAGGCTATGTTCTGTTTGGCTTCATTCATAGGGACCTTTGCAGCTGCTATTACTGAAAATAACCTTCCATTTTTACAAGTATTCAGGATTTCTTGTCTAATTTGATTACCACAAAGAAAATTGAACTTGTTCTGGTTCTTATGCCTAGTATATTTGGCCTTTGGATGAGTTGTTTATAAGTGATACCTTAATGTATTATCAGCTTCAGCACAGAAGTTCAACAATGCTGTAACATTACTAATTTTCTCTGTTTTCCATGCAAACCGATGTTAAAACTCAGTGATTCCTTTCTACTTTCTCTTTATATACTGTTGATAATTTTTAAACTACACTTGATTGGTCTTACAAAGTTATTGTTTTTCTCAGTGACAGACAGATGTCCCTTTGTTTCCATGTAAGCATCCACTTTTTTTTTAAAACACTCCAATTCTTTAGAGGCTTTGTTGACAATATGTTATACTTGCCAATAAATGCAACACAAAGCTAAAAGTACAACATCCAGACTTTGACTGTAATTTAGGATGGGATGTCGCTCAGACTTGGACTGTAATTAAGAGTAGGATATCACTCAGTATCAAATACATCATTAGGGTCTCTGTGGTTTTCCCTTTAAGTTATTATAGGGGGTGTCGGCCAGCCCTTTGAAGGTTATTTGAACTTTTTATGCTATATTTTATATTTGTGAAAGTTTAATCTTTGATGTTTAGTCAAAAAATTGAATTGTCCAATATTATCAAAATTGTCACATTTAATATTTGTTTGAGACATGGTGAAAAATTTTGGTTCAAGACCTTTGACTACTAATAAAACTTTCATTACATGAATTTGACATAACAGGAGTGTTTTTTATCTATAAAATTACTTCTGACACATTTACATCTACAATCTGACTACATTCTGCTCTGATTTCATTACTAGGCCTATAATCTGCATTTTCAAACTCAACATGACTGACACTTGCCTTGTATTCTAACTGGGACTGTCATCAAGGTTATATTACTTTTGCCTAAACTTTCACATTCTAATGTTTCTTACTTTCTGCTTTACCCAAACGTTTAAAACACTTCTATGGTTAATTGTTATCATGATGAAGTCATTTACTCATTTTATATTTATTAAACTGTATACAGTGTCCAATGATTTATGTTTAATGCAGTCCATCTTATTCAAAAAGTTTTTGACTTTGGTAAAGTTTAGGATAAAATTGACAAAGGCAAACAACAGCACCACTGCTGCCCTCTCAATTTGATGCATCTAATTACTGGAGTTTGTATCTTGTGTTGAAGAAACAAACAATTCTATATTACACATCAAAGAAAATTGAGAGGCTTATTTACATCTTAAAGTTTTATCAGTCAGGAACAATTTTCATTATATTTAATATTTTTGGGTGTTTCAAAAAACCTACACGTGCACATATTGTATGTTAAGGTAGCAACATCCTTGTTGCAGTTGTTAAATCATTACTGAAATATGTAAAACTTAAAGTACAATTGCAATTTTTGTTAACAAAACAAAATTATAATTGTTTTATTTATTGTCCTGAGCTGTCCAGTCACCAAATATTTTTCATGGCTTTCTATTCTATGGTTTATGGTATGAAAATGGCGTAACCTTGTCATCATATGCTTCTTTTTATTAGGGGAATTCTCTTCGGGTAGATAGTTGAGAGAATCTAGTAACTTAATCTTTGATGATAAGTTAGAAATGATCTTGATAGGAACTCTGGGATCTGCATCAGTTTGTCTTACTTCTTGCAAAGTCTTCCCTGAAGTTAACCAGTTGGCTACTTTACTATTGATATACATCAGAAATCAATCACATTGAATAACCTTTGGCTTAAACTGTCTGTCTTCCTTGATTCTGCTCTGTTGAGTTTCCATCCATGTTGTCACTAGAAGTTTAACCTATGGTGCTGTAATTGTCGAGCAGTGCATATGTATTTCTTAGTTCTAGATTGTGAAACTATTTGAAGCAATTCCAACTATTATTTTATAATTTCTCTAAGTGAAATATTTATGTAGGGATTTGATTTGAATTTAAATACATATCAGCTTGTGATGTAATTAGTACAGTTATTCCATAATTTGTCTCTTTTTTTTATCGTGTACTCTTGGAATTAAAAATTTTATGAAGCAGTTGTTATAAAGCAGTTATAAGCCAATTTAACAGTAATTTACAAGACAAATAAACACGATATACATTTTCACAAGTGCTTTTGAAAAGATGCCAAATGTTCAACTGCTGAAATCCGAATTGTTTAACAAACTTTCATGCAGTAAGATTCTTGACAGAGTTTATTCCTCAACTCTTTGGGAGCATGACACATTTTGATTTTTTTCTGTTTATATAGTATGAACTCTTAAAAAGTATTAATAAAATTACTTTTTCAAATTACAAGCCTTCGGGGCCTTCAGGTTTGAATTTCTGTCACATCGAACATGGTCACCGTTTCAGCCATAAGAGCATTATAATATGATGGTCAATCCCACTATTTGTTGGTAAAAGAGTAGCCTAAGGGTTGGTGGTGTTGACTAATCGCCTTCCTTCTAGTCTATCATTACTCAAAATCGGGACAGTTAGTGCAAATAGCCCTCATGTAGCTTTGTACAAATTTCAAATCAAACCAAACAAACCCTCAGACTTACTGCTGAGCCACAAAGAGGTGCTAAAAACAGTATTAAAAAAACAAGAGAAGAAGAGCCTACTAACAAAAATACACAGATAGCCCATTGTGTAGCTTTGCTCTTAACAATAAACAAAATATTGTTTTTGAAAAAAAGTGTAATATATATATATGAAAATATTAATTCATGACATATATAATAATATACATTTTTACATTTATATATATATATTTCTTTTTAATTGGTAATCTTTAATATAAATTGTAAGAATTTTCAAATATTTTAGAAACATTAAAACATTGTAGTAGCTAACAAATTCCATTTAGGATAAAAAAAAGTTGGAAAATAGCCTTACATTTATATGTTATGAATATGTACAATGGTAACAGAAATAAGCTTAAGTAAGAGTGTGAAAATACAAAATCTTTAATGGTGCAAAATATTTATGACAGAAGTTAAAAATGTAGCTAACCCATTGCATTTAGTTTTCACAGTGTTTAATGAAACGTGAAAATCTTGAGTTTTATAATAGAATATATATATATATGCTTTTTCCTTATTTTCTGTTTCAGGCCACATATGCAGCTACTGCAGCTTACACAGCTGCTGCTGCTAGAAGTTATGCTGCTGCTGCAGCTGCTGCCGCTGCTCAGCCTGTAGCATCATATGCTACTGTGGCAGGGTAATGCAATTTATTTATCAGTTCCAAGTTAATTCAAGGAGAATAGAATGATGATAGTAATTTTGTGTCAAAACTGGGCAATTTCTATTTCTTCAAAAATTTTTACTAACATAAAATTAAAAACTTGATATATTCGTTTTTTTTTGTCAATTACCATTTATGATATTATATTTATAAACTACGAGCATGTTCTTCAAAGAAGCTTTTCCCCAAGCAGGTTAATGGTAAGTTTACGGACCAACAATGCTAAAATACAGGGTGTGATTTCCCTTTGGTGAACAGAGTGGAAATATCCCATTGTGTAGCTTTGTGCTAAAAGAACAACAATTCTTAAAAAATACACTTGCTATCCCCAATGATTCAACAGTAAGATTGAAGGTTTCTAATGCTGAAAGTTGGGTTTTCATATTTATGGTGGGCAGAGCACAAATAGCTCATTGTGAAGCTTTGTGTTTAACAACAAATAAATAGTCAAGGAGGGAGCAAAATTTCATTAGTAAGTAACACATGTTCGAAGAAAAATGAAATATTTTACCTTAGAAGAGGAAAATAAAAATCTTTTCGTGTAATATATATAATTATTATGCCATTTTTTATCACTCAATACAAATGTCAATGGTGAATTCTTTAGCATCTCTTCAGTGATATTATTACACCATCTGCTTTTTTGATGGCTTCTTACATTAACAAACTGATTAAAATGATGTAGAATTTTGAAACCCATCTTTCTGTTTTGATTATGTACACAAATTTTTAACCTTTGAAAACTTTACTTCATAGGGACAGATAATTTTAATTTGGTATTTTATTCAACTTTAAAACAATTCAGATGATACTGACATGTTCTATAGTTTCTATTTTGTCTGCCATGCTGCTAGCCCAAATTTAATAATAATTCGATATTTGGTTTAATTTAATTTTGTAACAATTGTTAAGATGGCACTGACACATTATACAGTTTTTATTTTGTCTACCACTCTGCTAGCCCAAATTTAATAATAATTTGATATTTGGTTTAATTTTATAACATTGTTAAGATGGCACTGACACATTATACAGTTTTTATTTTTTCTACCACTCTGCTAGCCCAAATTTAATAATAATAATGTGATATTTGATATAATTTCATGACAATTGTTATGGTAGCACTGACATATAATATAGTTTTCACTGCAATATCATTCTTATAATTCATTTTATTTGATACTATAACAGATACACACTTTAATTACCCATAGTGCTATTTATTCAATAGTAGCTCAGCCAGTGTTCAAGCATGACCAAAATCAACTACACTTCATCTACCAGCACATCCTAATACTTAAGATCTATTACTATTTGGTTTTGAAATATTTTTAATGTTGACTAACTATATAAGTCTTTGCCTGCTGTTGATATGTGGGGAGGGGGGCAAGTGGGTCATGATCAGTGAAATTAAATCCAAAAATGTAGAAAATGTTTTCACGATACTAGAATGATTAGAATTAGCTTCAGTAATCACAGACAGACAGGACTAATGCAATGTATTTTTAGTGTTATATTTATTGCACTATTCTATGTTTTGTATATCAATTCACAAACATACTGGAAAATTCAGCCCAGAAAAGGCAGTAGAAGAATTATGTGTGACTTCCGTTACTGCGTATTTTATTGTTAACTTCATTTCATATAAAATGTATTTATATTTTCACATAAAAACAGTATACTGAAGTTCTACATATATTGAAATTGGAAATTTTCAACTATTTTTGCAGATTCAAAACTATCTGTTAATCTCTTTTGATGAGCAATAATTATTTACTTTCAGAATAATAAGTTTGTTAAGATATTAGCAGAAAAATCTATTAAATGAGTCAGAAGTACATATGTCTATTGATTTGATATCAACAAATGTGTCTGTGTATCTTTAAAAAACACTTAAATATGCTATACATGCCTTACTTGTTATTTAAATGTTTAGTTTTATTATGTTTTGTTGTTTGTCACTTCTAGCACTCCATCCTTGTATTACAGTTATGGACGGGACTACACAGATCCTTATCTTGGGCACAGCATAGGACCTATGTCAGGCTACCAGGTAACATAACAATATATAAACTTAGTACAGAACATCCATGATTAATGAGAAGTATTTTGCTTTATTTGTCATAAAATGTACAGTATATTTTCAGTAATATATACACATTAAGCAGTTGTATGTTACTCATATTGAGGATTGTCTTTTAAAGCTTTATACCTAGAATGTATTACAGTATAGGTTACAAAGTTTGAAAGGTTTGAAATGGTGTATTTGTATTTTTTTATTTATCATCATTATTCTTCACAAAATATTTTAAATCTGATAAATGAACTGCAAAATCTCATCAAAAGACACATTTTACAGTGAACCATCATTATTCGAAACGTTTTGAACAAGCATAGCTTTCCTCTTACATTTGTAAGAAAATGCAGTTAAAAAAAAGACATTACAAGAATTGTGAAAAATTCTTTAAGATTAAAAGATGCAGAATAGTTCATTGGATAAAACTTATTTGTGTTTTTAACTTTGAATTGAAGATTTCCAAAATTAATAACCACATCAAGAGTGCTATAGCTCATAATGGAAACATAAAAGCTGTAAAAGAAAAGTGAATGTCTCAACAGCTTAGTTCTGCCGAAATCTGTAGATGGTACATCCAGCAGCTTGAACATTATGTCCTGATATTGGACTTGCATGTATACCCGTTTCATACTCCAACTGCTTGAGAGATGTGACCGTTAAACGAATATGTTGTGGAAGCAGCTTGTATATACGTGATTTGTGTTGCTTTTCCAGGTGGAGATCCTTCTTGATTATTTTGCATTCTGTTGCCTGGTACACACGGACGACTTTTTCCACTGACTTTTGTATTCATGGATTCAGCACTTTGCATACCATGGCTGATGTAGGACGTATTGCAAGTTTCTTTCTATATGGTCTTAATGCCCCAAATTGATCCATATTCCCTTGTTATTCCAATGTCATTACATACATGGGATATCCCCGCTTTGGACATTTTAAATCCCAATTTCAACACATCTTTATTATCTGAGTGTATAATTATTTTACATGGAAAGTTCTGTTACATACCTTTTCCTAAAGCAATCATTTTTCAGTGGCATCTCATTATTTATGAAATGACATACAGTGTCAAAATGTAGTTCTGATACATGTTATTCCACCATGATTTTACATTGGCTGTGGTTGTCAGTTGACTTGCTAACTTACATGTTCAAAATCGTTTTAATATAATGTACTAAATCCTCTGTATATAACTCATATTCATATATTGTATCATGTACTTATTTATAATTAATATTTTCTAATGACACAAAAGATGCAAAGTATTAGATACGTATAACTTATTTCTGCTAACTACTGAATATAAATTAATTGTAATTTAAATTTATTTTTATTTTGCCTAAGATTAATGTTTATGAAACTTAATTAGACAAAAGCTTGTGTTCACAATGCTGCAGCAATAACCAGTATCTTGCAACATCAGCAATATCAACTGTATACATCAAATCCAATGGCTGTAAATGTTTAATAAAAAATATTTGGGAACCATTTTTAAGAAATTATATGAATAATTTATCTTCCATTCATAAAAATGTGGTTGATAGCTAAATGTAGTAATTTAACATTTCAGTTCAAATTTGCCCATAATTTACTGTTTCCAAAAAAACCGATTGAGCCTGCTATTTTGTAGAAATACCTTCTTACTTCAAACCAATACTTATTAATACTAATTACTCCTACCTTTTTTAGGCTGCTGTTTACAGAAGTGGATATAATCGATTTACACCGTATTAGAAGATTATCAGCCTAATATTTTCATAGGTGGGAAAAGAGTGGATTTTTAGAGGAAATCTTCTTACTTTGGTAAATGTAAGGATACAAGTTAAACAAATAACAGACATCAAGAAAGGATTATTTATCACATCGACTGCACAAGATATTGTGGCTAATATAGCCATATAACTGAACATATTCGCACATACTTTAGTTTGGTTTTATTTAATCCTTGCTCAATCTCGCATGAGATCTGATGATAATATTTTGATCTGATACATAACAATTGACCGTGACTGTGCTAAAGTGAAATAATAGGCTTAGTTCTAAGCATGATGTTATCGTACTCTGTACAATGATTGCACCCTTAATCTAGTCAGAAAAGTCAGATTTATTTGAGTTATTTACAGTCAGAAGTACAAAATGAGATCTTATATATTATAACGAAATTTTTTCTTCTCTTGAAAGAATTACTCTTGTGACAAACTACATAAAAGAAGTAATTATTTTATGTAAACAAATCATGTAAAATGTAAAATTGAAATATTTAGAATGATTTTATGAGATTTACAATCGATACTGATTCTTTACCTTGTTATTCATATTAGAGAGAATGTTTTTTTTGTTTTGAAGTATGGGAAATTTTATTTCTCATTCATTGTATTTGAAGGACTAGCAAATAATATTTTCTGGAGTATTGTAGAATGAAATTTAAGGCACAACCTTCAATCTGTGAATTGTAAGAGTGTATTATTGTGATACAGATGGCCTAGTTCTGCACTTATGAATCCCATATGAAGAGGTCCTAAAAGATTTCTTAGAAATTAGCTTTATATCCTTTGGTGGTGTGTCTTGCAACAGAATCATATTTTTAACATTAATGGTAAAAATAGTGTTAAAATATACAAATTAAATACTTTTTTTCACCAGTGTAAGATCATCATACTTGTAGAAAATGTTTATTTCTGTACTTTGTATGATTTCTATGATAATCAATATTTTCAGATTTCAGAAAAACATTTTCTGCAGTAAACAGTTGTTGACTAAATTGTTAACTTATGACTTGTAAACTTTTATCCCATGAAATAGGAAATTAGCTGCATCATAACACATGCAATTATTGTGTTTTATTATTATTTATGTACACCTTCAAGTCGTACATGTTTAAAATATTGTAATGGGTTTCTTATTACTGCTTCTAGAGTATCTTTTGTTCATTGATTTAAACCTATGACCCACTATTGCCAGGACTCAAGTCCCAAGCAGATAGACCTCACCTTGACTATTTGATTGGATGTTATAATCATATGATGAAATAGATGCAGATATCTTAATCTCTTTTCCTTAATTGTGTAGAATTAATGTGATAAACAAATAATTGTTTTCTTGAAAATCATATCAAATGAAAGGTTAATGGCATTTTACAATACACATGAATGTGGCAACTTTCCATTTTTTGCATTCAGAAGCCTAACGAATTGATAGTGTAGATATTGTTTTAACCCAGGCTTAAACCAGGTATATAAATACCAGGAACACATGTCTGTAGATCAATACTCTCCTTTTTTTGTCTCACTTGACAACTTAAAGTTGAATAAACATTTTACCTTTATTTCTATATAACACATGTAAGGTTGACAATACACAAGTGAAGAAGTTTTGTCATATAATACTTCATGTCTTTTATTTCTGTATAACACATGTAAGGTTGACAATACAAAAGTGAAGAAGTTTTGTCATATAATACTTCATGTCTTTTATTTCTGTATAACACATGTAAGGTTGACAATACACAAGTGAAGAAGTTTTGTCATATAATATCTCATGTCTTTGAAAGTTTAATTATAGCAAGGCAACAATGCATTTGTATGGTGAAAAAAAAGTTTAATTATTATTCATTAGTTCAAAAATTTGTTCATTTGGCTACATGTGCATTTAGTAAGTGTAATCTACATATATCCAACATCCAACATGTTTTAATACAGATACTATGTTTATCCCATTATTCTGTTACTGAATGTTCATTTCATTATTAGCTTTTATATGAAAAATAAGTACATGTTTTTTAACAGTCCTGCATTTAGTTAGATAAGACAAACATGGCATACTATCTGATATTTGACAGCTTAAAATGTGTTAAAACCTTTGCTAAGTTATGATAGAAGGACTTAAGAAACTTAGTTTCTGTTAATAAAGGATTCAATAATTATTATACTTCGATTAATAATCCTCATTGTACACATTTGTCATGTTTACTGCAACAATGAATGTAATGTTACTAGAACTTTGTTCTTATGAGATAGATTTAGCTGCAAGTAGACTTATACTGATAGCAAGAGTTCTCAGCAGAGGATATGCTACTGTGTTTTGCTTTTGTCAGTGTGGAAAAGCTGATCAACTGAGATATTTTGGAAGGATAACATTGGTCAAATGAATGCCGTCCATATCAAAATATTGTTGCTTCGGTGTTATATTTAAAAGATTCAATACGTTAGGTAAGTTTTATTGTTTGCTTCTTGGATGTTGCTTTTAAACATTGGATACTATGTATCTCATGACCAAATTCAGCAAAATGATGAAGCATGTTCTCTGCTGACTAAAAGAATGGGTAATGATGGTCAACATTATTTTTCAATAATGATGTGAATATTCTGATACTGTCAAATCATTTGTTTTTTTCTTGAACATATCATTAACAAATTTGATAAATTTAATTATGCCTTACAGGAATAATCAATCTTTCAACTTTCATATATAATTTTATGAAGCTTTCAACATTTGTAGCATGACCCTGAAGCTATCATTTTAAATGATGATTATTCAATGTGTTGATGGTGTACCATTTAAAGCCTTATTTCTTTCAGACACAGGTATATTTATTTTGTTAAGTTTAATGTCTTATAACCTTTTCATAATTTAGCCGTACTAGTACTATATGATCTAGGATTGATGTGTAAAACACATGTTTTTGGTACATTTTGAGATAAATCGTGATAATACACTCTACATAGTAACTGTAAATTTTAACTCTGCTTTCCTATGTATTATTCAACAAGTTTTTTTCTTGTGGTCAAAAAATACTGCACAATGCTCTTTAGCTCTTTTTTGATACATGTGACTTTTGTTCACAAGCACATCACATATTAATGCATTCTTACAGCAATTCAAGTTTTGCAATTAATAATGTGTAAGAATTTGTAAACATGTGATTTTTGGTTGTGCTGGTTGTTTTTTATTAGGTGTATTACACTTGTTGGTAACCATTATTTTCATCTCAGTCTGAAAATATGTACGATAGGATATAAGAGTTATTTTGTCAAAAATCAATGTATTTAAGGCTCTATTTTCCTGGAAAGACTTGTGAACAATGCTGTATTAACAGTATAGTAAAACATCGATATTTTAAATATATATATATAAGGTAATCACGTTTCCCGTTTCCGAGTTTATGTAATTAGGACTGATCCGGTTACGTAAACTTTTAGGCACTGTTCAGGCCGTATAGGTATAAATATGTTTAGCTTAATGTGATTTTGTTTTAAAATATATGTGCAAGTACAAAATGTGTCAGAAGAATAAAGCAAAAGTAATAAATGAAAGTTGTAGACCAACTTTAAAAAAATATGAACAGAAGGTTTGAAATTTAAAATCAGTATTTTGTTTTTCTGAAAAATAAGGCGAGAACATTTCTCGTTATATTACTAATAACAATATTAATGTATTTTTTCGGTAAATATATAATAAGTGAATAATTTAATACAATATAATTAACTTTAATCTAATAAGTTTTTATTTATTTGAATTGTTTTTAACTTAATTTTAAAAGCAAACTTAGAACTCTATTAATTTATTTTATTGCTATATATCAAATGATATTTGAAAGATGTAGTTTTAGTAATATTTCACTGTCAGTATTCGTTTTGATTTTTTTTCTTGTAATTTAGTTTTCTTGCTTAATTTTCGTGCAAAGCTACACGAGGACGATAGTCGTCCCTAATTTTGAAGTGACAGACCAGAGGGAAGGAAGTCAGTCAACACCGCCCACCATCAGCTTTTGGGCTGCATTTTTACTAACAAATAGTAAGATTGGCCACCACATTATAAAGCTCCCGCGGCTGGAAGAGCGAGTGTGTTCGGTGACGGGTTTCGATCCCGCAATTCGCAACTTGCTAGTCAAATACCTGATCTTCTTAGCTAGATCCATGAAATTTAGTAAAATATATCTATTCTGAAGTTAACTACATGGTGAAAGGAATCGGACACTTTTGTTTGTACCAACGGTGTTTTTTTTTCTGTTTATTAACTGTAATTAATTTAAACCAATTTAATTTTCCAATATTTGCTAGAATTGAGGAAGTAATTACTAATTTATTTTGAATGAATTTGAAGTAATGTAAAAAAAAATAATAATAATTTCATTCTTCCATACTTGCTAGCATTGAGAAGTAATTATTATTATTTCTAAAGTAAGTAGTAGGGTCGCCAAACATGATCGCCCTTTCAGCCGTTGTGGCGTTATAATGTTATGGTCAATCCCACTATTCGTTGGTAAAAGAGTAGCCCAAGAGTTGGCGGTGGGTGGTGATGACTAGCTGCCTTCCCTCTAGTATTACACCGCTAAATTAGGGACGGCTAGCGCAGATAGCCCTCGTGTAGCTTTGCTCGAAATTCAAAAACAAACAAATCTAAAGTAAGTTGTTGTAATAACTAATATCGACCCCCAAGTGACAGTATGTGAAATCTTGCTGAGTATCCAGTTCTAATTGACAGTATTAATTGGATCCTGTTAGAATATTATGGGGGATGGTATTATTAACAAATAATTTAGCTCTGTTTATGATATTTTAATTTGTTGCTTTTCTATTAATCGAAAAGCAAGAGCTTTTGATGTTGCTGCCAGGTATGATTATAAAACCTATTGATAACGAAAATAAGAAACGTTATCCCTTTAAGTATTGTTTATAGATTTTTATTAATGGCAAGAAAAGTGTCCATTTAATTAATAGGTAATAGTTAGTATCGGCAACTAAACTGTGCAGTAACTAGAAATATGGCTTTGTCCATCGAATTTACATTTGCCATATGATATAATTCCTACACTGAACTATGAATATACCTCCAGGGATATTAAGCAGTTTAAAATATATTTTTTTACCGATAACATCTTAAGATTATCAATGTTAAAATTTGAGATGTACATTAGTTTTTGTAAGCAGATGACTTTGTAAGCTTGTAATAGAAAAAAAATTCTCACTTTAAAGGATAAACGTAAATTAGAAATATTATGCAGACCATCCAAAGTCATATCAATAGCTAGTAGAATAAAATTAGCAGATTAATGCTGATGTAAAAATTATGTAGCCAATTTTTAGTTGTATATTTACCACTAGACTAGGTTAGAAATTCAAACCTTGTATCAAATGTGCGTAGTACATTCTGAAAATGGTGAGCTATACTAATTATTATATGTTTATACACATAAAGAAAAATAACACCAGTGTTACAAAGCTATAATATAGCAATAGCAAACGAAATTGTGAATGAGAAGTTATACCAACATCTAGCTTAATGTATATCACTAAAACCTCCCTTGTTGGCCCCCTATGTAGCGTTTAAAAAAAAGTTTTCAGTTAAATTTTCACTACCAATCATCCAAACGTTATTTCTGAGATTTCGCATGTTTAGATAGTGGCTAGAAGTGTATATTAGTAACGTTTGCCCCATTTCTAAGGTTTTTAAACATCGGTTCTTAGTTACAAATTGTGCAGTGAGTAGATAAACAAAATATCAGACAGGCAGATATATAAGATGCTCATATATACAAACACCTAAGGATGCCTGTCGATTTGAACACACCTCCCTTTTCTTAACGAGAAATATTGAAGTTTATTATTAGTTAGCGTTGAATATTTTAATGTGCAAGAGTTTCATCGAGAAAGCCTATAAACTAACTTGTGTATCGGTTTAGATCTGTTGTTATCGTGCGTTATTAGTGTTGTTTTGTGATATGGAGATCGTGGGTTGAATTACGCTGGTATATGTTATGTGCATTATATACAGCGATGAATAAAATACGTTCTTTAAATCGATATTTAATACTGGATAGAAAAAAAGCAAGCGATAGTTGTAACAGTGATTATTTGTTTCATGTGTTGTTTTTTTATAGCATGAGGTAGCCAATGTATCCAGATTCATCCTGTATTTACATTTCAGCCTGTCATACATGTGAGGAAATATATATATATACGTTGTTAACCTTTCTTGTTCGTCATGAAATAAAGAAAATTGATCGTAAGAACTTCCTATTTCTTGTCAGCCTTTCTTCAAAAAAAAATACTTAAGGTATTGCGATGTTAATTTGAATTGTACACAATGGGCTAGCTGTGCTTTTCCCACAGAAAGTATCGAAACCCGATTTTTAGCGCAAATAGCCCCCAGATTTACCGCGGAGTCACCAGAGGACAACTATTTGATTTTAAAAAATGAGTTACTTTATTTAATATAGGAAATGCTACTTGAAAGACAGGTAACATATACGTTACAAAGAGAGTTAATAGTTCTTGTATTTCATTAAATTTTCGAAAGAAGTTGATAAACATCCGAACTTTCGAAAAAAAAATTACAAAATCTTCCCCCCTTTTTTTCTCCTGGAAGTACTTTTGTTATGCTTATTAGTCTGAGTTATTCCTTTTTTTCTAATGTTATTGATATTGAAGAGATAGCACGTTTTTCTTTGGGAATAACAATTTTAAAATATTAAAATTTTATAAAATTCAAATAAGATGAAATAATTTCTTAATATGAACTTCATAAATTAAAAAGTTAGATTATCTGAGTGTTATTTTTCATTTTTAATGCAAAACGTAATATTCAGCTATTTGCGCTTAGTTCGCTTCGAGGATCGAACTCCTATCTATAGTATTATTGCCGAAGTAATTGTTTAAAAATCAATAACATTTTAAAGGAAACTTAGTGTGTGATCGGTGACAGTATTTCGCGTAAGGTAACAATCTTTGAAAATAACCAAGGAATAAACAGCACATTTTAACTGATATTTTATTAGTCAATTGATAAAAATTGCTTAGGGAAGGAATTAAATAGGAAATTCTATATACGTGTTTAAAAGTTTTGTCTTAGTTTGTTTTTAATTAAGCACAAAGCCATACAATGGGTTATCTGTGCTCTGCCCACTACGGGTATCGAAACCCGGATTTTAGCGTTGTAAGTCCGCAGACATACCGCTGTGCCACTGGGGGCAGTTTTGTTTTAGAATAATTTAAATGGGTTTGTTTGTTTGTTTTTTAATTATGCACAAAGCTACACAAGGCCTATCTGTGCTCTGCCCATCACGGGTATCGAAACCCGGTTTCTAGCGTTGTAAGTCCGCAGACATACCGCTGGGCCACTGGGGGGCAAATGGGTTTGTGAAAAAAATTGTATTTATTAAAGAAACAAAAAGCATTTAGGGGATGACTTAAGTAGATCTTTTTACTTTTAAAATTCACTGACTGAAAGTATTGAAAAGGTAAAAGTTATTACAGATATTACAATCAGTTGCTGCCGCAAATGAAAAAGTTTAATAATCTAAAGGTTGTTCAAACCTATAAGTTAAGATTGACTGAGCTTAGATACGCTTATTTTATTTTATAAAATTATGTACTATTACAGCAAACAACGACAAAAACAGCTCTTAAGAATTTGTTTCGATATTAACGCTATCCCAACTCAAGAAATTTTAAAGAACATAACAATAACACTTAACAATAAATGTTTGTATCTTTAAAAGCCAATATTAAGGCTGTGAAACTGTTCAACCACTAGATGTAGAAATGAATATACCTTTCGAAATTTATACGTTAACCTTTAGGACGCGGATTGGCCTTGTGGTGAAAGTCTGGATTTTGGAGGTGGCGAGCCGCGCTCGAATCTGTGAGATACCACAAAATATTCCCTGCATTTTAAGCTGTGGGGATGTTATAGAAGTGGCAGTCAATCCCAGGATACCATATACCCTTTACAAAAACCGGTGTAAGTTGATCTGAAGACGTCCTTTGTACCTGAGCTACATTTGAAGGTTAGTTCTCCAATACTTTGTTTACAAGTACCACTCTTAAATAGTCATTTCACCTTTATTAGGCCAGAATTGTTTATAGAATACTACTGAAAGATCATATGGACCTGAGAATTTATTTTTGGCCAAACTACTGAGTGATTAAAGACTTCCTGGCTCGTTAAAGAGAGAAATATGACATTAGGTGTTCCTTTACCTTCGAACAGTTTTATTTATTAACAGACTTGGTGAAATACAGGCTTCAGTAGTAATTCACATGCCAGAAATAACTCTACCATTAGCATAAGTTAGTCTTGAAATTGTAGATTTGTGTTTACTTTATTTGAACTGTCTTTTACATCTGTTTTCGTAGTACCTGCCCTCTGACCTAGCTACGTATAAACTATCAAGTTGTCACTGAATGATGATGATGGGCTTAAGAAAGTCCGGATCTCCATTGTAAAAGTTGGATATCCTAGTAGGAATTCTTTCAAGGTGAAAGACCTGCTTCCGCTTCTCTTTAGCCTGACTCTGTTAAGTCAGATATGGATCCTGTTTTTTCAAACGTTGGAACGAATCTGGCGTGATAGCGCCAAAGCTACATTCAATACACACTCTTTCTGTAGCTGACTGATCATAAAACAGGCATCGGAATGTTGTTTTACTGAAGTTCGCTCAAAGCTACTCGAGGTCTATCTG